AATGAGAATAAGAAACTGGCTGATTGATGGTTTTCTTTATTATTAGCTTAGATAAGAGGAAGTAGGAAATGAGTATTGGGTTCCTGGACTTGTGTTAAATGTTTTACTCACATTTTCAGATTTAGTAAACACAATGGAGCTTTGAGGTATCTATTGGTGCTTCTGTTTTACAGATGAAGACTTGAGGCTTAGAGTGTATAATTAAGGCACATGCATTCCCAATCCTAAAGAGGTAACCACAGATCCTACTTTTTAATCAGTAAGCAATAAAGTATTTAACTGCTTTAAGATTTAGTCCTAGAGATAATAGCACAAAATGTTGATAATAGTATAATTGTACTATAATAAAAAGCACAAATATCCTATTGAATAAGAAATAGTAATAATATAAATAGTCAAATAATGAAAAACTGAAAATGTCTTTGTATAGTTGATCCTTTTCAGCTTAGGTTTACAAAGTAATTAAATTATACAATGTGTGCATAAAGCAATATTTCAAGTTACTTCATCATCTCATTCTGATAGATGGTAAACATTATAAGAAGGCTGCCTCCTCTAAACCATAGAGACAAATGAACTATCTTATGACCAAAAGAATGAGAACTGAAAACTTAAGAACCTAGATAAAACCCTTAAAAGTTTACTCTCATGCCCTCTGTGTAAATGCTCTCAAGTTAGTTATTAAAATCTGATTTTCAAAAATTAAAAAAAATTAAATGTAGCTGAGTTCACAAAAGATAATGGGATAAAAATGGAAAAACTTCTTAATTGTTTCTTTCCAATATCAGCAACCCCAAGACATCAAGCTCATGATATAATCAATAAAACTGTCATGCCCTAAATTCTAACATAATACTGGGTAGTATTAAATCTCCTGTTGCAGAAACTCTATAATGCACTCAACAGATTTTATTTTCGGCCTGAAATATAATGTTTCTTGCTTGACTAAAATTCAAATATATATATATATATATATTTGAGAAAGTATATATATGTGTACATATATATATATATATATATATATATATATATATATATATATGAGAATGTAGCTTAGCTACTGATATATAGTGTAGTCCCCCTAGTCAAAGAACCTAAGAAAATCAATGTATATAATTCTAACCCAGAACTCTCATTTGGAATCACTTTGTGAGGGTTATTTCTCATTTTTAATAACACAGAATTGGAAAGTTAAGATAATGGAAACAAAATTGCTCTAATGGTAATAAAATATTTGTAAACTAAAATATATTCATTTTGACTGTAGAAGAGACATTTAAATAATTTAACTGCTGTGAGTAAAATTGAAATGGAGCTGTAATTACTCAGATTTTCAGCATTCCTTCCTTTACAAAGAGAAAGAACTGCTACTGGTTTCCCCATCACAGATACTTCTATCCTGCCAAATAAAAAGATTAAAAATATGTGCCAGCTGCAGGAAGAGTGAGCCTGCAGCAAATTAACAAAATACAGGTGACACTTTTTCCAATCACTCTTTCTTATTAATGTAGTGTCTTGCAAATATGTATTTCATTAGCTCTGTAAGAATATACATGAGGGATACACCAGCCTTAAGTGAAAGCAGGAAAACAGCTAATATTTTTTTCAATTTTGAGGTCCTTTTTTATTGGCTCTTTAGGAAGTACTAAAAATATCTTTTTTAAATCAAGATTATAAAAATGTGGCCCAAAAATTACCTGAATAGTTTTTCTACTTTTTATTGGGACATCCCCCAATAATCTGGGAATCTATGAATACCAAAGACTACAGTTTAGATAACAAAGTTAAGGAGTTTAAATATTATTATAAGCTTTCCCTGAATATTTGTAGATGTGAGACGATTTTAGAATAAAGATACTCTTCAAATAATTAATCTACTACTCTCTTTCACCTACGCTTTTCTCCACACACACACAAAAGTATTTTTTTTAATGTATCTTCTACTAATGACTACTATCCTCTAGTCCCTATTATTTTTCTTTCATCCAGTCACTGCTTTTTTCTGTCCTTTGTTCCATATTAAATGCAGGTTCTTCTCCCAAATCTTTGCCACATGCAAGTAGCCAAAGACCACTATTATTTTAATAGCCACCAATTTCTTTATTGTTTAGCCAGATCTCTCCTAAATTTAGGTGACTAAATTAGATTTCAGGGAGAAGGATAAGAATGCATCTGTTCGCTTTTATATTTACCCAGCCTCCTATATGGAATTACTAAGAGCCTTTACCAGAGCTGATCCTAATTAGGAAAAATGTTTATTATCACAGTTCATCCACAAGGTAGTGGGATCCAAATGTCAATCACCTAAATATGAAACATATCATGGACAAAACTGGAATCTCCTGAGTTTATAACACCCTTCTTCCAACAATTCATAGCCTAAAACTCCAATATGAATACCCATCTCTTATCAGTACACATAAGCAGATTTCTGACTCATTTTCACATCCCTATTGGGAATGAAGACTGATTCTGACTCCATTTTGCTGGTGCCTGACTGACTTTTAGCTCTTTCATCTTTCTCCCAAGTGATCTGTCTTCTACTCTCTTTTAGTTGCCCACAAACACCAGCTGAAGACCTATGGAAAGAGGACACCAGAATTGAAAGGCCATAGCCCCTTCACTTGTAATAGCACATAACTGTTTTTCTTCTCAGTACCTCCTCTAATTTTTTTTTAAATAAACCCCTTCCTTTGAGAAATGGCTCCTTTACACTATGTGATTCCAATAATGGCTTCCAATTATGACACTGATCTGTGATCTAGCCACGGAGGTCGTATACAACCCATTCAGACCATATCATAATTACATTGTCTTCAAGCCTATATATAGTATCAGTCCAATAGGTGAACACTTTTCTAAGCTACTCCAGAGTCATTCTCTAAGGATTTGTTTATTTTGATATTTATGTTTTTTGTTTGTGTGTGTTTGTGGTTGGAAAAATATCCATTGGGGATCACTTGGGTTATAAAGCTATAAAGACTGAGCTCAAGACCTGCCAGCCAACACAGTTCTATTTTGTGAAGTTTAGTGGTTAGATATATTGAAGTCACCATGGAAAGAAAGAGAAAGAGAAGAAAGTATACAATTATTAGTCCCTGAAGTCCTTGGAGATGTGTGGGACCTACTTTCCTGAAGCTTGGTTCCTTAGCTCTTTCTTCAATTTAGTGAATTGGATAATTTTTATTTGTACCTAAGTTAAGTATACCTAAGTTTTTGTTTTGTTTTGTTTTGTTTTTTAAGTAGGCTCCACACCCAGCATGGAGCCCAACATGGGGCCTGAAATCAGGACCCTGAGAGTCGAACACTTAACCGACTGAGCCACTCAGGCACCCCACCTAAGTTAATTTTAGTTGCATTACTAACTTCCTTGCAAACCACATGCCTGGGTTTACTTGTTTTGTGCAAATATACAGGATGGTCATTTGTATTACCCTGGTAGTGGTAACATATAATATCCAATTTAGAGTCAAGTCAATTATTCTCAGTGTTCAATAGAGCTAACACCAGGTACTGTTTGCTTTCAAGTATCAAAATTAGCCCAACTCAAATCACTGGTATTAGCATTAGGATATATTTAAATACTTAAACTCATATTGCAAAATTGTTCAAGTTATATCCACCCTCCACTAGGGATCCTCTCCCTCAATTAGATTAAAAATCTATTATCACTGTCACTCATTCCTAAAATTGCTATCTAGTGAAGTTTTCTGTATGGTTAATTTAAATTATGAGACAGGTTCACTAATTTTATACAAATAAACTCAAAACCTTTTTAATTTTTTATCATTTTATTTTAAAACATACTATTTCACCAATATCTTAGGAACCTTCTAAAACTATGTTGACTCTATCACCTTTCACAATAAAGTAGAACGTGAGTGAGATAAAAAAGAAATGAGCATGAATCTCTGCGTTTTCTTTTCTATTTTCAATAATAACTATTCCTTAAAGTCTCCACAACCATCAAGGATTTAAAAAATTCCTTTGTATAGTGTTTATAATGTAAGATAAACCACACAACCAAAATGTTTGCAAGCAAAGGCTTTCACAGTCTGATGGCCTTTCCATGAGGATACACATTCATAACCGAGTCTCATTTTTATTTTTCGTCATTTATTTTAATTGTCTACAAGTCACACTATCACTAAGAGCTACCTAAATTCAAAGAGTCTCAGAAGACTTCATGGAATCAGTGGAATTGGATTTGAGATTTGACACATGGGTAGAATGTTGTTGGATATGCTTTGGTGGCAAACAGGCAAAGGTATAAATGCCATATTCAGGGACTTGCGAACAGAATAGTTTGGTTGTGCCAGATTGATTGATTATGCATGGAGCAACTGAAAAGGTAAGCTGAAAGTGTGGGCAGAATTCAAATTTTGGCAGGATCTGAATATCAGACGTGAATTATTCTATCAGTCGGTCAAAGTCCATCTTGAAACCATATCTGAGTATGTACCATGTGCCAGGTATTGTGTTTAGTCCTGATAATACAAACTTAAATTTAGTCCCTAGACCTATTAGGAGAGTGACAAGTAACCAAGATGTGATAAGGAATACTGAGGACTGGGAAGTTTTCCTGGAGAAACTGAAGTCTGAGATGGGTACTGAAAAATGATAATCATTAACAAGATAAAGGGGAGGCAAAGTGGGAGAAATATATTAATTGAGTGCCAGGAAGAGGGGGGAAAGGACAGACCCAGAGAGAATATGACATACAGAGAATTATAAATAATTACAAAAAATCCTGTAAACTTGAAGCTTACAGTGTGGAAACAGAATTCAGGAGCTATATTGGGAAACTGAATTATTACACCCTGCTATTGTTGGGAAAAGGAAACTTAAATATCATCTAGTTCATATTATTTTATTCTTACAAAGTTAGAAATAATTTTGTGTATTTTTTTATGTAATTACTTAGCTTAGAAAAAAACATTCTTCATAATACTCTTCAGTCCAATTGTAGCCATATTATTACAAAGTGTTAAATAACTTACTTTACAGGATGAGTACCATGAAGGAAGGATGTTTATCGCTTCTGTTCAGTGATGCATCTCAAGATCTTAGAGATAAGATCTCAACTTAGAGTAGTACCTAGGACAGATAGAGCATTCAGAAAATATTAGGTAAATAAAATTAATAATATGTTAATATATTCTCAGAGATGTAATGTTTTTTCCTTTTACATGATGAGTGCATTGAAATAAAAGAAAGCCTATCATTGAGTTTCTGGGTTCAGAGATTCATAGAATTGAACTCCGAGGAAGAGTAATGGAGTTTTATTTGTCTTCCTGCAATTACCTTTTGGATAAGGATCCCAGGGAGCAAAACTCCTTCCCATTCTGATTGCTCCATATTGTCTGGGAAAGACTTCTCAAAGAAATATACTAAATACAAACCTGGATTGCATATGATCTAGGCCAGCTCTCAGCTTTAAACATATTTAAATTACTCAAATGCTTACTCTAAAAAGCACTGATGTGGGAGTACTCTACTTCTGATGCATTTTGGTCGAACACTAATCAGCTGCTAGCCTCCTGTTACTAATTAGCTTTTGGTTTTCATATGAGTGCAAGCTTAAAACTTGTAGAAGTTTATATTTCAAATTTCTGCAGATATTTTAACAGTCTCAGACTCAACCTTTTTAACTCTGAGAGCAGGAGAAATAAAATAATAATCTTCTAGTATTTGTTCCTATAAAATTAACTCATCACAACATTTATGAAGGCTATTAGAGCTGTATAACGTGTGCAATTACCAAACAACCAAAGTCCCTTAATCCATAGCCCAAACTTTTCTGAAAAATAAAATGAGTACATTCAAGATTAAGCTATCTGAAAGAATAAAGGGTTATGATACAGGAGATATGTATCACTGTAGCCAGAAAACTCCTTTCTGAACTTTCTGTCCTCTTTTCCTTAGTAAATTAAAAATACTCTGAGCACTTATCATGGGTAGAGAATTGCTTATTTTCTCTTTTTCAAATATAGAAGAAACCTTTTTACAAGTAACATATATCAATCAAAGGACACTCCCTTTTTTTAAAGACTTGTTTATTTATTTGAGAGAAATGGGGAGAGAAAGAGAGAGCAGAATGTGAGCATGAAAGGGTGGGGGCAGAGGGAGAAGGAGAGAAGCAGAGTCTCCATTGAGCACAGAGCCCTACCTCAGGACCCTGAGATGGTGACCTGAGCCAAAATCAAGAGTGGACGCTTAACAACTGAGCCACCCAGGCACCCCAAAGGACACCCTTTTGAAGACTTCTTTTGATAGCTGTTGTTTTCTACTTATTTCCAATTCCCTAAATCAGCCAACCTATCTTCTGCCTCAATTTGACCTATGGTTATGATATAATACTTTGTTTTAGGCCTACAGAAGTTATAGCAATAGAATAATAACTTTATAAACCCTTGGATATAGGGTGTCCATAGACCTTTTCCTTTTGTGCCTGAACATTCTCCAGGTAAGTACATTAACACTTACCAAGTGCCTACTACATATTGCTCCAAACTGTAAAATGGTATTTAATGATTGAAGCCTAAGTGCATAGTTCTGAATTTTGTAGGTAAAATAAGATAGGATGAGATAAGATGAAATAAGATAAAATGTCAAACAAATAACTTTTCCACTTATATTGAGGGGCAGCATAGTGTAGTAGCTAAGACAGTAAGACTATCTGGACTTGACTGACCTTTTATACTTATTAGCTTTGTGTCTTTGGGCAAGTTTCTTAGTCTCTTCAAATCTCTTAGCATCTCAGTTTCCTCATCTATAAATTAGTGATAATAATAGTTAAGACTGCTTAGAACATTGCTGCAACCTAGGAAGGAATTAATAAATACTAGCTAATATTATCAAGGTGATTCCCACTGAAAAACTTGAGCACTCATCATAGCACTTTGCTCATAGTAAATAACAACAAAGATATTTTGTGAGAAAAAAGAAAAATTCAATCCTATTTGAGAAGATGTAATTATCAGTTGTATAATTCACAATTTAAAATAGAGAATAGGGGTGCGTGGGTGGCTCAGTCATGATCCCGGGGTCCTGGGATCCAGCCCCAAGTGGCTGGGGGGGGGGCTTCCTGCTCAGCAGGGAGCCTGCTTCTCCCTCTCCAGCTCCCCCTGCTTTTGCACTCCCTCTCTCTTCCCCCCTCCCTCTCTCTCCCCCCTCTCTCTGTCAAATGAATAAAATCTAAAATAAAATAAAATACAGAAAATAAATCAAGTGCTCAGAAGAAGAATAATTCACCTTGATGGTAAGATCAGACAGTAATTTCTTCCAGGGCTCCTGGTAAAAAGGCCATTGTGTGATGAAATAAATAGTACTCTTCACAACAGTGATAAAATAAGCATAATGACAACTTCAATCCTCAGTATAGGCCGATGGCATCATACCAGTGCCCAATTCAAAACAACAATTCAGGAGAAGCAGTTTTGCAAATAGTTGCTGTTGTTTTGAAAAATCAGGAGCTTCCCAGGTGAAATTTGAAATTGACCTCCATTCATGGAGGGCAAGCAGAGACTGAAAAAAGAGGTGATTCAGATTGGTAGGTGGCAGGTTTAATAAGCAAGGGAACTTACATATAAGATTTGTTTGGGGCAGCCGCAAGACTAATAGATATCTGCACTGGCCTGCCAGAATCTTAAGTTTATAAAGAGGCCTTAACTGGGTTCTGTCACATATTTAGTCCAGATGGTCTCAACACCTTACTCTCAAGGCTGTGAACTTGAAACTCTCCTAGTGGGAGAGTGGTGGGCTGACATACATTCCAAGGACAGGTGGGATGAGGAGGCTCTGATTGCCAGATTCAGCTCACAGGTAAACCACCAGTCCTCTCTTCTCAGTGACCTCCTCCAAAAGATGCTAATGAACTAGACAGCCTGCTTTCTGCTGTTTTAACTTCTTCTAGGGATATAATCTATATTATCTATAAAAATGCTTGACATTTAAGCAATCCTCCTTGAATATTTTTACCATCAAATAATGTTTTGAAAAATGAGTGACAGAGCTTGAGATTGTATTCTTGGCAAAAGAAGCCTGCAGGGTAACTAATCCATGCTGCCATTTGAGCATAAATATATCTTTCTTACCAAACAAAATTTTGAAGTAAAATCATTTTGTAGAAGCTGAGGTGTCCCATAGAGACAGTCATCAAAATAGAAGGCCATCCTATCTTTGCTCCATAGTGATGTTGTCACATGTTTTCTATGGATGGGTATATTAAATACAGCCCAGTGCGCAAACACATTAGAGGTCAAGTGTCCAAGCTTCACTCCATGGAACATAAAGTAAATTATTTTATTTTGAAAAAAATGTAGTAATATAAACAACTGCCTCAGGCAAAATAAACTCTGTAACCTATACTACACAGAATGCCTACTTGTGAGCAAAATAACTTCTAGATAGACTGGGTATGAAAGAACACCAAAGTAACCAAATGAGATAATTTATTTTATGGCTTTGTCTTTTACAAACCTGTTAAAAGCAGGGAAATGTCTATCAAAGGTAATTGGCTCTGTTTTAGAAGCAGGGTAGATTGTTTCTGAACAAATCAAATTCAAGCTGATAAGGTTATAATAGACAATTATGTGTCTACTATTCAAAAAGTAGTATCAGCTTATTAAGAAACACATTTTAAAGAAAGGATAACAAAACATACCTTTTTAACCGCTTTGAAAACTTAACTTTGGATTAGAAGACTGTTCTTACCAGTTCTAATTACTGCATTACCAAATGAGGTGCAGATTTTCCATGAGCAGCAAATGGGTCTGTACCGGTAACTGCAGCCCTCCTATCACTAACTGATGGCCAGAAGGTAGAGTTTAGAAAACAATATGAGGATTTCTTTTCCCAGTAGTTGTTTCCATGAGGTGATGAAGAATGCAATGAGAGTAAAAGCTACCCCTAAAGCCTGCCTGAGCCTTGGGTAAATAGTATCCTGAATATTCAAGATCAGACTAGTGCCAAGCAAGCAGTATAATTTGGGATATCCAACCAACAAATTGCTCTATACTTCACTTGGAAGAGAGGGTCGTCCTTTTTGAAGTGAAATAACCATACTCATATGACCTCTCAGGCCATGCCTATTGAGTTAATAAATATAAAATAATTAATGATAATCCGCAAAATTCTTTAGAAGCCATAGACCAGGTAAGGACGAAGGGAGAGAATCTTCCCTAGATGCTTTATTTGGCAAATATTTTAGGGACAAAATGAGAAGGACTGTTAGTGGGATCCATTGAAAATTACATAGTATTTACAAAATTTAGGAACCATTTATCTTTTCTGTAGAACTAGGAAAAATGAGTCTCAACCCCTAGTTCTTCTTTAATACCAGATTTAAAACCTCTAATCATGTTACCCAATAGCATTTTGCACTAGCTAAATTCTTTTGAAACACTCTGATATGTACAATAATCATTAAATGTTCTAAGGTCTCATCTTTTAAAATTTTTTGCCTGGTGCTTCACTAGCATCACTAAAATATTTTGGCCTTCTGGTGTTCTTTGTTAACCCAAGTAATCACTGGAGTCTCGAAGGGAAGACTGTGTCTTGCTCATTGGTTCATCTCCAGGATATTGGCTAGCAATAGTAGCATCTCCATATGTCTATTGTTTTGGAACCATGAGCTAGTATAGTGGGCCTTATGCTTGTTCTGACCTTTTGGAACAAAGAATTCTTTTAATTTATCTGGCAGTAAGAGAGAAAATAAATTTCATCCTCAAGACACCCAAATGGGGTTTTATAAATCCTTTAACAAAAAACATTAATGAACAGAGATTGAATATTAATTCATTTTAATTATTTTTTTCCCTAGCTTCACTAGCTTATTCATTTGTCCTTATAATACTCTAACATAGAAATGATCAGGGTTAAAACAAGGGGAAAATAATCTTTCTTTTCTCTCTCTCTCTCTTTTTAACTCAATCCACAACATGCATTTTAAAAGTGTCCTGGAGCAACAATGCATAGGATGGCTAACTATAATGTAATCCATAATGCTGTCTCTCTAAATCAATATGTAGGTAACATGTCCCTTACATCTATCCTATATAATATTGTACACCACCACCAAGTGCTAATAAAAAATG